GGTGTTTCTAATGTCTCCATTGCTCTGTGATAAATTTACATTTTTCTTTCTCCTCTTTCAGTGTTTTGATCATTAGCTGGGAAATTTCTTTCCTTTTTTATTGAACATTTCTTCCATTTATATAATGTATTTTTTCTCAAATTAATCTTTGTTTCTCCCCTATAATTCCTGCTTCCTGCCTATACAGCAGCATTTCTTTTCTATTTTGTGTGTTATTTTTTAAGCTCTCAGAGCCCATTTAGTATGGCTGTAGCTATAGATAGGGTCATCTACTGGAGCATGAGTAGGCTGTCAGAGGCTACATCTCTGAAGAAAACTCACTTTCTCCCATCAGCCATCATTTGCCAATAGCTCCTCAGTTAGGGATGAGATGTCATGACCATCTGACCTCATCCATGCTGGAATCTTATTTAGCTTGTGCAGATAATGTGCAAGAAGTCATAGCGCCAGGGCATTCACATATGCAAAGTGCCTTGAATTTGCATGATCCTACCAAATTTTAGGGAACACTGACTGCACTATTTTAGATAGAACAAGGAGATTACTACTTGAATAATACCAAAAAAAAAAGGCTGTTGACTATGGATATGGGGAAAGTTGTATGTATAAGGGACACCACTGAACATCAGATGTAAGCAAGGCCCCAAAGGCAGGACAGGAAAGCAGAGGGAATTTCAAGTGGAAGTAAGCAGAGACCAATGCCCAGTGACAAAAGGGATATAATGAGGCCTTACATTATGTTGTCATTTAATATTTATTTATACACTCTATGTTTAACTGAAAAATAAAATTACACATGTTTTTGTCTACAACAAGATGCTTTGAAAGATCTGAATTATGGAATGGCTAAATACAACTATTAAATTACATTACCTCACAGACATATTTTTTGTGGTAATGAAACTGAAAATGTCCTCTCGTAGCGCTTCGTAAGTACAGAATACACAGCTATTAGCTACAGTCACCATTTCCTAAAGGAATTCTGATTGCTTTGCGTCTGCTATTATAATCCAGCTCCTGATAGCAGAGCATGTATCTGTATACATGGATGCATTCATACTTATATATGTATATCTATGAAACCCAGCACCTGATCCACAGTAGGCACACAGCAGGAGCTCAGTGAAATGCTATTCTTGATGTGACATTGAAAAAGATGCCTCACACCCAGTGGATCAAAAACCATATAATAGTGGATGCATAGCATATACTTAGGATGTGTCTCCTATGTCAGTGGTTTGACATCAGTTAATTACTTCAAAGTCTTTTCTAATGAACTGCTATTAATGAAGATTCACATGTATAAATACATTCCAGTTTGTTTTATAATTCTTGTTGAAAATAGACTCTCCAAATCAGAAATTTGTTTTTCTCCGTGGCTCTTCTCTCTCCTTCTCTAAGCCCTGTGTTTCCTCTATTCTCTTAATGTCTTTGAGGCATATTAAGAATATCATAATTCCCAGAGCTGCAAGTCTGTTACCCTTGCAGCTATTCACAGCTTGCTTTGAAACATCCCAAGCTTGTCTTTAACCAAACTGGCTCTAAAACTTTTAACAAAGCAACTGGCAGCTTTCTTGTGTTGTAGAGCTGTTTCTTCCAAACCACAACATTCCCTCCTGGAGGTGGAAAGGAAGTTCTAAGATTCAGGAAGCTACAGGATCTAAAGGGGCCCAGGAACCTCAGAAAGTTACAAGATTCTTAAAGGCTGTTCCCAAGGTTATAGAAGGATCTATAAGGTGAAGGGAGTACTCCCTTAGGTGGAGCAACAAGGAAGACAGGAAGCTGGACAGGATCTGGAGTCATCATTCATGCTGTAGTTGGCATTTCAGAGACTTTCCTATAAGTATTACCAATATACTTTCTAACTTACCAAGGTAAATTTGGGTGGAATACTTTTTCTCTGAACTGTCCTTGGTGCCTTATGTGGATTGAATAAATGTTTTTTCACATTTTCCTGGGGTGGGAGGGTGAAGCTCAATAGCTCATGAGTACAGGAAGTATTTTGTGCCTAGCGAACAGTATTTCAATTCTATGACAATTTTCTTCCTTTCCTGGAGAAACACAAAGCTTTGATTAAAGTGACATTTCAATGTGATCAGTGGGAGATATTAAGCTTCTGTCAAAGACAGATTGAACACTGAAGTTTTCCAAATTCTTAGCATATCAAAGACAAGAAGTCAACTAATAGTGCTATTAGTTCTGGAATAGTGAAGGCATCATATGATATACCCCCACATCTTATCGTACTAATAGAGATAGGCCGGAAGATGCATGGGGTAGACTCAGCTGAGCTTTGCCTGGCATTGAGTTATCTCTAAATCTGTGCATTGTAGTCTCACCTGTTTTCTGCTCCATTTCCATCTGCTTCAGCAGGAATAGCATGGGCCCTTGTAGATACTCAAACCTAAACATCACACATATCCTTAAGTTTAAAATACCTGGAAGTGGCTAAAGAAGAAATGTTTGCATAAGATCCCTTCCACCACAAGTTAATGTGGCAGGAAGTAAGGAGTAGTAGCAGAAATTCCACAGGCTCATTGCTTGCTAGTATCGCAGTGATTTCTCTCCTCATTCATTAGTTTGATCCCCAACCAATGAGATAGGATCTGCTATTATGTTCATTTTAGAGTTGAAAAAAAAGTCAAGATCAAGAGAATCCTTATAACAGTAGGTGTTGTCATGTATGAGTCTTTAAGAAAACTGCTGTAAATAATTTGCACAGACATTGGCTTGCTTTGCTCAGCATTTGTACCTAAGTGGGAATGTAAGTAAAACAACTTCTAACCCTGTAACTGAAGCTGGTTTCTGGAAATTTATTTAGATTAATGATGAATACATAAAGGTGGAAATTCTAAGGCTATCTATGCTCTTCGCAAAGACCTAAGCAACTTTGGACAAGGTGAAGGATATTCTTTTTTTTACTATTCAGAATCTCAGTTAGCCATGGTAGGATTGGACTGAAGGAAGGAACAGTCCCAGAAGAGGTTGGGCTATGTGTACATGGGCAATTACTCTCTAATGAAAAGGATTAACAATGGTTACTAACTCATTTATTTGGATGAGTTAATTAGCTAGTCATAAGAAAGTGGTATTAACTCCTTGAGATTAACAAGGATAGTGCATTATTACATGATAAGCATCTTGTGAACTGATGACTGACATGATATTAAAAGTGTTATAAATTACATTACAAAAAGCAAGTACTAAATGTGACATCAAAATGAAAACTTGAGGCTTAAAAGCAAACCATTCATGCTAAGATGTCCACAACTTGGCTCATTTCCTGAAATTTCATGGGTTTGATCTTTATAGACTTGTATATGTGGAATATGTATAGCCTGAACTTTCTCAACTATGTACCTCAATACTTTCTATTTAACCTTTTTTCTTCAGAGACAAAATCCAGGGTTTTGAACATAATAAGCAAGATGGAAAGGTCTCATGTATTTTTATCTGAAATACCAAAATTTTGGTTAGATATGATGGAAATATTTATATTTTTAAAGATTGGATATGTGATCACTGAGGTATGGGTAAAAAAGAGTTGTAAAGCAAGTGACTCTATCCATCATACATTTATGTAGTATCCTACACTTGTCTATTAAGTAGAGAATAATGCCTCCAGAAAGAGTCTAACTTCATGGAACCTGTAGTACAGATGGGACAGTCTAAAATCAAGGAATTAAGAATATAATTACAACTTGATATTGAATCTGTACAGGAAACTTTCCTTGGAGAATGTATAAATAAAGAGATAATGGGTGAGAACAATTTCAGGGAAAATGTTTTAAGAAGTAAAGGAGAAAGAGGCCAGGTAGAAGCTAATGAACTTAAATACAAAGAACTTGTAAAAAGCTTCTGTTATTGTATGAACAAAGTCTATGCAAGATCTGAAAGAGAGTCCACAAGGATGAATAGTCAGGAAGGCGGAACTCAGAGAGTTGGGGAATGGTAGGAAATTCATCTGAAAAAGTAGTCAGGTACAGTCCATATAGAATCATAAGGACTCTTAATAGACTCCAGCAAGTAAGTAGGGATTGTGGACTACCACAGGCCAATCCATTGTCAAGTACCTAGGAGTTGCACTGATACATAAGGTAAGGGTTACAAGTTGCCTCATCTAATCTAGCCTTTAGAACACATGCATAAGTCAGACATATGTGATTTCTAAGGAGCGCTAGATCATAGGAGGACACATCATAATCATAGATACACATGATGTTTGTGATTCTCCCCTTACAGACTGCATTAAACCACATGTCCTTAGACTTTTGCCTATTCACTGAGACAATGGCTCTATGAATTGGACAGGAAATGATTTCTTAATATGGTTGAATACACAGCTCAAAGCTATGATGATGAGGGTGTGGTTACCATCCAAACTATAAATAACATAATGGCAGAGGTATTATCTAATTAGCAATTTACCAATGTGAACAGATTCAAAAGTCATAACTAGATGCTGTGCCTTGACTTTTATGCTTTAAAAAACACATATAACCCAAAGTGGCTAGATCACTACTCTGTATGTTTGGCGAAGGTGCACGGTGTTACAAAAATGACACAAAAGAAGAATTTATGAATGGAAGTAATTTTCAAATAATATCTTAGAATCTCTGCATAGAAAATCATATAATAAACATTTTGTTTGGGGATTTAAAATAATAAGAAACTTGTACTCAAGATTACAGATTACTATGATATACTATAATTCATGTTTTCATATTTATCATTGTCTCTAAAAGTAATTTAAATCTGATAAAAAGTCTATCCTGAACATCAGGCTAGAAGATCTCTTTATGCATAAGGATTTTCCCAATGTTAACAAACATAGACTTAAATTCTGAAACAGATATATAGCCAAGTTGTCTTCCTTTTTAGCAGAAAGTCATTGGGATTGCTGTTTTTCTCCTAGCCATAGTCATTTGTGACACCACTTTAAGAATTCACGCACCCTCTGCGGTCATTTGTAATAGTGCCTTGTGTGTTGTGTCTCCTAGCTCTACATACAAACTACCACTCTTACAATCTCCATGAACCTAAGTGCGTCAGTGGCGCTGGGAATGCTATACATGCCGAAAGTGTACATCATCATTTTCCACCCTGAACTCAATGTCCAGAAAAGAAAGAGAAGCTTCAAGGCCGTAGTCACAGCAGCCACCATGTCATCAAGGCTGTCACACAAACCCAGTGACAGGCCCAACGGTGAGGCAAAGACAGAACTCTGTGAAAACGTAGACCCAAACAGTAAGTAACTCTCTTCATATTTCCATCCTGTATGAGAAATTTCCAGAAAATATGATGTGTGTTGCTGCTCTCTGGAGGAAGCTTAGCTTGTATATGCTTTGTCCTGATGAATGGTAACTTTTACTCTTCTGGTTTTGATTAATTTCTGCTACCATTTTCTTGGTAGAAAGCTTTTCAGGGTTCTGAAGACACTCTTCATTCTCTTGTCTCTTTGTCCTTTGCTCCAGAAACACCCAGGGGGGATAAACATGTCTGTCAGTGCTCTTTTATCAGGCCTTTTCCACTAGGAGAGTGACTTCCTCTTAGAAGGAATTTCCTTCTGGGAAAACAACTTCCAGTTAGAGAAGTAGCGATACCTAGTAAACTGCAGTCTTAAAAGTAAAATTAAAAATTTGAAGAACTTTAGAAGCATGTTTTCCTTCCACAGAGATGTGAATGTGGAGAAATTATTTCAAAGCAAGTCTGTTAGAAACAGAATCATAAAATATTGGATAAAGCTATTCAACTTTCATTTAAGTATACAGGGCCATAGACGGCCATGCTAAAGGGAACATACTTTTGAGGAAGTATCTCCTAAGACACTGAAGAAGGAAGTCATTTTGTGAAGAACAAAAACTGACAGCTGTGACTCGGAAGTGTTAGCTTCAATACACTGTGTCTTATACCCAACAGCCAGGTGGTCAGTGTTGCTTATAGTCATAATTTTATTCATACCGATAAGTTTTCCTGTATAGTTCAATTTCTGTAGCTATTTACAATAGACTTCTACCAAATTTCCATATCATGGAAACTTTATCCATTCTCTATTCTAATAACAACTTTAATCATATATTTCTGTCCATATATGCACAAGCACACAAATTTAACAAGATTTTCCTCCAAGTCAGTGAGCAGTAAAGTTCAAAGTGTCTTCTCTATATTTGTATTTTGAAAATTAACAAATATGAACTTACAAATCCAGACAACTAATCCTACAGTGCTTAAGAATTAATAACTTTTGACTATAGCTAACTTTCTTTTGTTCATATCAATCCTTGTTGAGTATTTGAATAGTTTCTAAAATGTAAACACTATCATTAATACTGACACTGCATCAGGCAGTTTGGAAATATGTACCATGTGGAAATTTTATATGGAAGAGACTGCATTTATTCTGCCAAGCAATCAATAGGGATGATGCTCTTATGCTCGATTTACTGATGAAGCCTCACTGCAAGGAGCTTCTGTAAAGTAGCCAAAGTCATGGACCTACTTAGCATCCAAGGCTTTATTAACCCAGGTCTTATTCCTAAATGCATGCTTGTTCCTCTTTACTACTGTGTGTCCTGAAACATAACTACCAGGACAACTTCCCAATGCATAAATTACCCTTTTGGCTCTCTTACTTGGTAATATAGCTTTAATACTACTACTACTAATATGTTTCATAATGGTGGTGGGTAGTGGCACTAGTGATCGTGCTCGTAGTAGTGTGGTGGTGGTGAAGGTGTTTCCAGGGGAACTGTCTTTGCTAAAACTTGTAATGTGAAATATGTCATTGCTTATTGTGTTGTCTACAGGCAGTAATAAACTACATTTAGAGAAGGGTGTTCAGGTAGAGGCCTTATCATACTGACTTTAAAATTCAGATATTGTAGTGGCAATTGGAATCATTGCAATAATCTCACTGAGAAATCATTGGACATCCTTAAAATTTTTTTGACTGTGTGGTTGTTCTGGTATCTAGAGTCATAACAAATACTCCAGAAAAAGAAAGAAAGAAAGATGAAGAGAATAGTACAATTATATACAGTGTTTCCCTCTCAACCAGTCTGAAAGATGTTTGAAATTCTTCTAGCTATTCCAAAATTATGTATCCACTACCCTAAAACACCATAAAAGATAAGTAGAAATTGTCTGAACCACATGAAGAGATTCATGTATCTCTAAACATTGGGGTTTCTGATGGCCCAGCTCTTGCAGAGCATTGAAAGGTCACATTGCTGTGAAGTCATCCAACAGCACTGTCAGCAGGCAACAGTGTGTTCTGAATGTGTGTTGTCTAATACAGCCAGCATAAACCCCAGTGTCTCTCAAGCAACTGAAACTGCAGCTTTTCAAATGAGAGAATGAACCTTGCTTTTATTTGACTCTGTTTTAAATAAGTAGCCAGCCGTATCTATAAGTACTGCACTGGACATCACAGATCTGGAAATGTGGGTATAATAAAGGCAAGTGTTTAATCTTGAGATGTCCAGTCAGAGTCCATAGTGGAGACTGACTCTGTCATATTAGCATTAGTGCTTATCTGAAAGAAACATAGCTTAAAGGAATGAAATAATTTGAGATGAAAATTACACTACATCATCTGAAATGTTCCCAAACAAGCTTGTAATGTGGAAAATGAGATATCAAGTCCAATTGTATTTGAATATGTCACCTGAAATCACAAATATGCATAATTCACATTAAGACTAATAGTGAAATTTAAGTAAATGAAAATAGACAAGAATGTTCTGGTGCTATGAAATGTCATAATGTCATATTATATTGAAAACCAAGAATGGCTCAAACCATCTCCAAAATCTAAATTTTGTTAATGGAGGAGACACAGGAAATATTTGCTTAATTTAAGATATCTGGTAAAAATTATAAATAATATATGCACTTGAAAATATGCATCTCTCCAATGGGAAATTCTTTTTTAAGGTGGTGGGAGATATGTAAGAAGACAGGCCAGTTCAAAGTATGAACTTCAAAGTAATCAATGGACCAGAAATGCTCTCCAGCTCATCTTTGCTATGAACACTTAGTGTGAATGTATATAAGTCCTTGGTGTTTTCATCTTGAACGGCTCCGCTCCATCTCTGCAGCTTGCCATCTGGCGCATGACCGCTTCCACTCATCCACCTCCACACTGCACACATCTACACAAAAATGAGCTTGCTTCTTGGCCTAAAATGTGCAGTCATTAAAACTGCCCTCTGCACTGCATTACTTTTCAAGGATTGAAATTTTCCTCTCAAATTGCTCCTTCAGTTGAAATTCTGATTGCCTTAAAGAAAAACATCTTTTTGTTGGGCTAAAGAGACAAACTTGTCAAAGTGTTAATGCTGGCTCTGCACTGTGTATATATTTCATGTTCAAGCTCTGGCCAGTGTTTGTCAGGATCTATGGTCATATTGAAAACTAGCAAGCCTAGAGGACATTAGGATGAAGCTCAAAGACTTTTAGTTATACAGAGGTGATTTCTGCCATGGAGGTTCAGAAAAGCCAAATCTCATTTGGACACTTAATGCCCAAGATGCTGATCTTCAGAATTTCTTCAAATTCTGGTTCTCTCACCTACCTCCTGAATCTGGCCTCTCTCCCTGCACTGAATATCAATTTGCATATATATGTTCATGGCAAACTATAAGATACTAAATGAATAGGAGGATGTGGTCATGCTTGGGCTATGACTTATGACTATTTTTATGGTCCTTTTTAAGCCAGATGTATTTTTTTAATTAGTGGACAGCATGACTTGATTGTGATGTGTGATTATGATCTGGTAACTTACTGGTCTGGAATAGTCAGACTCATCAGATTCTAGGTGAATTGCCCTCTTATGTCATGCTTCCCTTGGGCAAGGATTGCATTGCACAATGATGAGAGGCTGTAAACTACCCTGGTTTTAAGATACCATCCATTTTTTTAAGTTGATGTCCTCCAGGGTGAGAAATAACTCATGTCAAAATACCTGGGTGAATGTAGAGTGTAACCTGGGAAGTCAGTAGAAGCTAGTGAAGGTAGGCAGGTGAGCAGCTAAGAATACACCCACTTATTGGATATGGGAATTTCTAACTTATAAAGAGAGAAACTAGACATGTGTTCTACAACAGATGGATTATGCCCATGAATAACAGCATTGTGTATCTCAGATATAAACTACAAAATAAGATAATTTCAACACAAATGTATTCTGATGTTTCTTTTCTTTTTTATTACTATTTGGCATTGACTACAAGGAAAATTCTGGTCTCAAAGAAAGAAATCATATAAAATAGAAATATCAATAGAAGGAAATATTTGATTAATAAAAGAAATTCTAGGCTGCTGGAAAATGGATGTGGGCAACAAATTGTACACAAGTAATAGTGCATAGAAAGTTTTGGAACACATTACCATGCTATGCTGATTTGTTAATGTTTCTTGTTTTGTTTTGCTTCTTCATCTGTTTGGATCTCTAACATTCTCAACATGGCGCTATTCGTATCCATCCTTCTGGACTAACCAGGCAAAGCTGGTCAGCAAGAATGAACTAGGCTGAGGTAAAAGGGATGGCAACAGGTAGGAGAGAGCCAGATAGATCAGTTATTTCTGGGCTGGTTCCCTCTACTGCACCAACTCAAGCAAGTCCAACCTAGCTTCCTTCAGTTCTCTAGTGACACCAGCACTCCCATGTTCAGAGGTACCTGAATTGTGGTGAACTGGTCTACCCAAACATATTGTATCCGCTGAAATAGTGGACATAATGTCTGCGGGTCTCTATTATAGCCTCTTCTTCAACAACAACAAAAAACTGATTATAATAAAAAGAATATTGTCTGTACATTTATTTTATACATTCCTATATATTTACTTTTCCTGTAGACTGTATACCACCAGTAAGAAAGAGTGTACAAAAGTCCGTAACTTGGTACACTATCCCACCAACAGTATAGCTTTTGACTGCTTCCAGAAAGGTAAGAAAACAATCTCCTTTTCTTTTATTTGTGTGTTATTGTCTACACTAATAATAGAAATGTTTTCATGAACACTGTGCATGACAATATGAAATTCTATCTGAATGGAGAAATGAGATTTGAAATATGTCTATTTGATGAGCTTGGTGGCAGCTCTAGTTATATGTCTGCTGTATTTGCTGGAGAACAGGGCATCTGCTGTATAGGTGTGGCAACTAGCCAATCACTTTAGAAAATGGGTGCTGTTTCTTTTGATACAGACTCTACTTTAAAATAATTGATGGTAAAAATTATTTTTAAATGTGTGTTTTTACATTTTGACAGTATAGATCACTGATATGAAAAAAGGGGCCATGTTTTATCAGTCATGTGCAAATATCTACTTCAGTTATTGTTACTTTGTACATCAAAATAAATATACACATTCCCAGGAATGTATCTAATCAAAAATATGAGTGGCTGCTCCTAACATGGTCTTGGATTTTTCTTTTTCTTTTGTCTTCTTTTCTTTCTTTGTTTTTAAACAACTAACTACAGGAAAGTTTTATTGCTAGAACTTATGATTTGTCAATCATGTTTCTTTCTCTAAGAAATCAAACTAACTTCAGTGCTCTCTGCAAATAGGAAATGGTAAAAGAAAGATGACAAGGTCAAAAGAAATTTCAAAATTATACAGGTTACACCAAATTAATATCATGGTATTCAAAACAAGGGGTTATATGACCTGATCAACTGGTCATATGAATGAACTTTTTGAGGGCATCAATTGACTTACCACGCATTGACTTACCACGCATGCTCATATAGTACTTTGTTAGCCCATTAATGAATATATTCTCTAAAAGACTATTCTTAAATAGTCTATTTTTGGATGTCAACCTAAGCAATTTAGAATCACAGTGGAAAACAACTCTTGCTTTCAAAAGTCTTTGTCTAGATGGATTCAGCAACTTCCACATGGTGGAAAAATAAACAGTAGACGGCATGGAGAATAGTGTGAAAAGGCTGGAGAGATCAGCAAATAAGATTGTGTAATGCTCTTGTAGAAGGCTTGAGTTCAATTCCCAGCACCCTGATTGTAAGGCTCACAACTACCACCAACTTCACCCCAGGATTCTGATGCCCTCTTCCAGTCTCCATGGACATCAGCACTTGCATGCCTATGAACACATACACAGACACACACAGACACACACAGACACACAGACACACAGACACACAGACACACACACACACAGACACACACGCACACACACACACACACACACACACACACACACACACACACGTAAAATAAAATAAAATTTTAAGTTAGGTGGTAAATTTGAATAAAGGACTCCATTCTGACTGTCTGTAAATACACTCTCATTTTTAAAACAGCTAGAGGGTCTATTTCTAGAGATCTATAAAAGTGGGGTCTTGTCATGGAGACTAACATTATGTTTAGCAATGTGCACCAGCCTTTATCTTTGTATGTCTCTGACATGCAACTTCTGTCAAATCACTGTCCAGACACCGACAATATGTTTCTTTGGAATGATAGTCTGCATAGAAATAATATCTTGGTCTTTCAAAAAGTGCACTTAGTACTCAAAGACAGGACACAATTACTTTCAAAGAGTAATTACATTTCCTGTTGATTTTAGAAGGATGTAACATCTCAGTCTTTAATTTCAGATGTATTGTTTCCATAGTTATTTCCTTTTCCTTGTATCAACATGAAGTGTCCTAGATTTTAAATAGGGCACTCTTCCCTACAGTGAATATGTAACCATATCCCAGTGAGATTTCAAGTCTCCGCAGTACCAGTGCTTGTCAAAACACTGCAGCTTGTCATTTAACAGTTCTTTTACAGAAGACTTCCTGAAAATAAATGAGAAAGAATTATCCCTAGGAAGCAAAAGATAGACTAAATATCCATCTATTAAAAATTCTCTTTAGCTCCATTCTCAGTTGGTGCCTTTTGGTTTAAAGGAAGTAATAGAAAACTATGTGAAGTTGACCTTTCAGTTAAAAAGTATGGCTAGATATCTGCATGTTGGCTCAGCAGGCAAGGGAGCTTGCTGCCAAGCCTGATGACCTGAGTTAAACCCTGGGATCTACATGGTCTGCCAAGCAGACTCCCTGGGGTTGTTCTCTGACCTAAACACACACACACACACACACACACACACACACACAGTAATACAAATTAAAAAATAAATACTGTTAGGAAGTGGTGCTTAGAAACAAAACCAACCTTTTTCCTGGGATTATTTTCTTCACAAATTTTGTTGGTGAGTTTCTGAGAGAGTGAGAGAAATCATATCACAGGTTAAGGAATGTGAACTGGTTTTTCTTTTCCCAGGGCCATATCAGGACACATTCACTCACTCATTACTGTTTTTCCCTATCTTTTAAAAAATGTTTGATGGTCTTGGGAATGCAAGTAATACTTGCACTTGATATTTTTCCCTGATCAGTTTAAGGGTAGCTGGACGCAATTTTATATTTGGTTTCTTTTAAAACAATGGGGAGTGGAAGATGGTCCCAGTTATGTGATTTCAAAGAGTAGACATCAACGGTTCACTTTAACAATAAGAAGTACCTATGATTGGAGGCCAACTAAAGAAATGACTCACTGTATCCTGTTTGAAGTTATTTCTGTGTGACAAGATTTCGGAGGATGAAATGGTAAAGAGAAAACTACAGGCATAGGAGTAAATGTTATGCAAATTTGCTATTAAAACTTCACTTCAGCCACTGTGTCCCAACAAAGACACATCCTGTAAGCAAGTGTGGCATTTGCGTGCAAGAGATGGAAGGAAACAAATTCAAAGTCAGACAGAACAAAGTGTAACATGGCTAGAAAATCTGTTTGATATAAGGTTGAAAAGTACCCTCTCTGGAAGATGCCTAAGCCTAACATCAGCAAAGCATCACTGCTTCATCTTTTCATTTATGTGTTTATGAATTTTATAACTGTACAAAGAGTTATCAGTTTAGTAACACTTATTTTAACATCTAATTAAGAAAGGAAGAAGTGGGGTGTTGACTGATCTGTACTATACTCAGGCCAGAAAATAAGTTGTTTTGGTAGAGTAGTTGCACACTGGAGGTTGGTGGTGTGATTATAAAACACTAGGTTCAATCCAGCCTTGCATACACAGACATATAACTTTTTTGTGGTTTCCCATAGTTTTGTTCTTCTGAGCAAGTATTCAGATTTTAATACTATTGAGAGCTCAACTTATGGGATTGCATTTTTTTTCATTGCTAATGTCTAGGAAGATTGCCTAGTGGGTTCAGTGTTTGCTGTCCAAGCATAAAATTTGGATCCCTAGCACCTGAACAAATTCCTGATAATGTGAGAGTTCACCTAACATCCCATCTTGGGAGGAGAAAACAGGAGTTCCCCAAAGGAACCTGACAAGATAGATTAGCCAATTTGACAAGCTTTGGGTACAGCAAGCAAGCCCTCCTTAATAAATAAAAGAGAAGAACCACTGGGAAACACACTTGATTTCAATCTCTGGCCTCAAAATATAGGTATGCACACGTGAATATTCACCCATATACTTGAGCACATACACACATGCAAACACATGGACACCAGGCATACATACACATGCCCCAAATAAACAAATCTTAGTAATCATTTGATTCTTGTCATTAATATGATGGGATTATTTATCACTTGAGGCTTTTTAGAACTTTGCCAAACAAGGCTTTACATCCTATTGCGATTCCTCCTCTTTAGCATTCAGTGTGGTACCCCTGTTTGAACAGGAGACCACTTCAATTTTAAATCCACTTTGAAACACTCTCTAAATATAGCACAGCAAAGAATATAAGGCTACCCCACCTTTGACACACAATCACCTCAGAAATAAATGCATTGATAAATCTCATCAGGACTGATCTCTGAGCACATGCTCAGAAACCAATTAATACCTGCCACCCAGCTCTGCAGTTCGCATCCCACTTAAAGAATGGGATGAAAGCACACACAGCCTGTAGTTTTACTGGCAAAGTAGAGTTATACACACCATGCCCTTAAGTCATGGAAAATACATCACAAGGTACATTTAACCACTGCCTGGCTCGGTTGGTCTCATCAAGATTTATGAACCATGGGACTGCTGTTAAGGAGAAACAGTCAAATGAAAGTCTCAGAAGCTTTGCCCCTGTGCCAGCCCTGAGGTGACATAAATGGGAGACTAAAATGGGCAAGTCCCTCAGGGAGCTCAGACATGATAGAGGATCCTAAGGTAAGCAATTTTTATTCTAGATGAGGGGATGGGGGCTTTCAGTAGGAATATATCAGTTGTCCAGCCACATAAGTAGGGCACCATGCTCCATCCAGTATGGAAAGTGGTTCAGGGAAAAGAACTTAAAAATGGAAGACTATACACTAAGAATCTGACTCATAAAAATAATGTAGCGCGTTAATAAATGGTTCTTCAACTGCTGTATCAGAGTTACAAAACACTTTATCTTAGGGCATGACACCCAAGAAAAGGCCTGACTATGTCGGGCTGAAGTTTCCTTTTTCTCTGTGCCTTTGGTATAGTGAAGTGGTTTGTCCCATGCTCTCAGCCTTATCCAAGAACAAGGCAGGTATATATTTAATAGTGAATGGCAATTATGATTAAGAAAATTCCCAGTCTATAACTCAGTAGGTGGGATAGTGTCCTTCAAGACAAAGCCTTCAAGGTCATAGAAGATAAAGAGGTGAATTTTATGCTGATGTCAGGTTTCAAAATTATGATTTTATGTGAAAATCATAAAATTGATATCAGAAATACACCTGCATTTAATCTCTCTTTTGAGGCATTTAGCCATCATACAAAATCAACAAGGAAAGTTTATGCCTATTTCTTTCCTCTGTGGATTACCAATTTCTTCACCATTTATCATTTCAAGTGTATATGAACTTGACAATTTCTGTTGGGAAATGGTTGGGGATGAAGAGATGGCCCCCATTGGTTAACAGCAAT